ACTGGAGTCAGACCATGGGGAAGAGGGTCTGCATCCATGTTGCCAGAGACTGGAGTGAGTGTAAGTCTGTGAGCATGTGTGTGAGCAATAGTGAAGATCAAATCAGATGGGTTGGTGAGCAGAAATGACCCAGGAGCAAGATGGTGAACAGACCTCTAGGGCTGACTTTGGGTGTGAGAGCGCCTGAGTGCCTCTAGGGGCAAGAGCATGGGGGAGATTAGATACTGGGACCCGGAAAATCCTGACCCATCTCAATGTGTGGGTGATAGTCTATGCCAGCAACTGGAGTAGGGCTGCAGCTTCTGGGGCTCAGAGACTAGAATCATAGAATGGCCTGGGTTGGGAGGGACCTTTAAGATCATCTGGTTCCAGGCCCTCTGCCATGGATGGGCAGGGCCACCTTCCAGTAGACCAGGGTGCTCAGAGCCCCGCCCAGCCTGGCCTCATGTATGTCCAGATGCCAACAACTGCAGAGCTTGGGCCCCAGGGGCCAGCCCTGGGCACACTGCATGTCTGAGTCCAGCTGCTGGAGGGATCCCCCTTCTACATGGGAATGACATTTTCACTAGTCATTCTCCATCCTGTCCAGCCACAGGGGAGCAGAATGAGAGTGCTGGTGCTGTGTTTGTGCAAGTGCTCTGTCTGTGACCTGTGCAGGCAGCTGTATGTGTATTGCATGTTTGTGCTTTTGTGTGTGTATCTGCTGGGATTGCTTCTCCAGCCTCACTACTGGCTGGACCTACTGGGAACATCGAACAGCAGCAGCCTCACCTCTCTCAGGCTGTTTGATCCAGTAGGAATGACAGATTTCTCCTGACAGCTCCCACTGTTCCAATGTAGATGAAACCTGTTTTCTGTGATCATTATTGTAGGCATCTGGAATTGTAACACACCCAGAACAGAGATACATGGAGGATGTAACTCATTTCCTAATATTTTCGTGGGTTATATTTTCCCTCCCAAATTAAATAATAAGCCATTATATTTCCCAGTGATTTATCAAGTCTGTTTAAACTGATCAAAAGGGTTTATTTTTGTGACAGAAAATTTGATTTGATGTAGAGCTAATAGTACCATTATATGACACTACTGAAATGCAGTCATGGTGATCATGTGGTTGCATGGAATTGAGCAACACGACTCTGTATTAGCTGGTATCAGCATAAATGTTATGTTAGGCATTCTGGTTCAAGGCTAATCACAATAAGGACAAAGCCCCAGTAAAGATCAGAGGAACCGTGACAGGTTGGGATACCTTAGAATAATCAGTGAAAACTGAAAGGAGCATGCTGAAATTGCTCCTCAATAAAACTTTCAAGGACAAATGATTTAGACCATTGCAGTTGATGTGAAATGCGTGGAGGTGAGTCGAGGAGGAGAATCCCTGAAAAGCTAAACGCAAAACTGTCTCTCAGGGGCACAAAACTTGCAAACAGAAGAGAATTCAGGGATTGTGTAAAACATGCAATGTTTTAAGGGTGGGCTGTGAAACTTTATAATGGACTGAAGGTGAGTAGGAATCAAAGTGGACCAGTGGGTCCACCTTGAACAAGTAGAGATGTAAGTGGGGTAAAAGAGGCTGGTTGAGTTTATACAGGTTGCTGGTTAATACACTTACCTGACTGACCTTGACTATCACAGTCTATCCTGTGTTGTTCTTAAATTCTGTTTCTAACCATCCTCCATGTGGGTTGTAAAACCTCTGTTCTATGTGTAGTTTAATTCCAGCAAGCTGCAAGTCAGACCAATCCTCGAGTAGGGTAAGAAGTCTGAGTGCCAGCAACTGCAGTGAGTACCAGCTCCAGGGGCTTGAGGTGTCAGCTGCTGGAGGAGCAGCTCCCAACGGCCTGGGAGCCAGGGACTGACCAGACCAAGTGTCTGTAACATCTAAGGGAAAGACAGCCAATGTATGTGTGTGTCTGTCCCAGTGGTGGATCCACCACAGAGATGAAGGCTTAGGGCATCTGTGCTATTCCTGCTGGTGAGAGCCCTGTGCCTTTCATGGATACTGGTAAAGGCACTGTTCTGCCTATGCTGCTCTGCGTGGCTGGCCATGTGTGCATATAAATGCAGGTGTAAATGCGTATTTATAGTGTGTGTCTGTCTGTCTGTCTGGGAACACTTGGGCAGCCTCACTATTTGCTCTGGAAACCTGGAACCACTGCAGCCTGGTATCATCCCAACTGTGGTAAGAGCGAAGTCCACTAGATTTGGCAACCTCTAATATGATGTATTTTTGAAAGAAAACTAAGTAAATATATTCCAAATATGGTCATTACAACTGGTAACTCCCTTTAAATTTTAAATGTCTGAGGCAATATGTTCATTTACTACTCATTCATTTTGCTGAACCGAAATGTGATTTAGGGTAAACACTAAAGTTTGGTACAGAGCAACAAGTACTAATGGATTTTAACTTGCTTTGCTATGTGACTGGGCTCTGGTCACCTTCATATGCTGATTACTAAAAGGAGAATTTCTGAACAGAAAATATAGTCTAACTTCAGGGAAACCGTACTGTAAAAACTGAGACTTGTTCACTGGAACATATAAAATGAGGATTCCTAGAGAGAGAAAAAAGTACCTGAGAATAATTTGACTAATCAGTGAGCCATTGAAAGTGGAGCCCTGTACTTTAGTACTCTTACAGCTTTTGGGCATATTTATGTATTTTAATTGGAAAAAATACAGATTTTTGCCACCTGGAGATTTTACATGCTGCTTAGCTGTGGGATATGAATAGATTGCAATTTATGAGCTAATAATCTAAATAATAACATAGCTATTAATTCAGTGTTATTGTGAAAAGGATTGACACAACTTGAATGTACTGAGTGTATTCCTGTCTGCCTTTCTCACTGAGTTATTAATCTGCATATAAAAATTATGTTGAATTACTGCTTGCAAAGGAGGAATTGACTGTGGAGGGTATGGTGCTATTAGTTGATAATAGTGGTCTCTCTAATCTGCCAAACAAAGACTAACAAGATCCCGCAGCTGGAGGTTGAAGTCAGCAAAGTCCAAACTGGAAAGACACTGAAAACTGCTGGAAGTGAGGGCAAGCAACCATTGGAACAGATTACTCAGAGGCACAGTAAGTCTTTCACATTCTTGTTTCATAACTAACTGTCTTAGGAATATCACCTGATTTGTCACATACTGAAATTATATGAAGGTGTTTTATATCTATTTCATGATTAAGGTCGAGCTAGTTCAAGAGAAGAAACTGCAAATTATGTCTATCTTCGTAGTTGTCCAGACATTTTAGGCAAAGATATACAAAAGTCAGGTTAAAAACTTCAATGAGCTAGTGGGTCACGATGCAACTGTACTTGCCTGAAGAAACTTCTCATAGCCCATGTGGTGGTGAAGAGGCATATTTTTGGTGACAGGAAGAGGATGTGACTGGTATATCTATCCCTCACTATTTTCAGTTCCTGCCAGAGCAGTGACTTCCAGGTCATGGGCGAGATTGTGCAAGGCCTGCTGGTGCTCACAACGGGAGTTTGATCTTTAGGATACCTGGGCCAAGTTATAGGTTTGTTCAGTTGCAGTGTGATTCAGAGGGTATGTGGATATTGGTGTTAAATGTTCAGGCCCTTGGAGCAGAGCAGTTGATTCTATTAGAAATAGTACAGCTTGGATTTCGAGGAGGATGCTATGAGGAATACTTTGCTACCCAGACATCACGTGTGAAGTATAGAGCCATAGAACCTTAGTGTATAATTACAATTTTTTACGTGTTTGAATCTGTTCAGTGCCAGCCTACAAATCTGTTACTTTTGTAAATGTTTAATATGTTTCTTGAGTGATAGTTCTCATTTTCTCAGAACAAAACAAGAAAAACCTGTGGTGATTAAGTTATTTTTACTACAGTTAATAGCAATGACTGTTATAAAATGAGCACAGAGTTCGGTTGGTTTGGAGTTTTTTTGATAAAATGAAGCACAAAGAACAGGAATAAAAACAAGTACAGTGCTTGTCAGAAATGGATGACAGAGAAACTGTACCAGGAGGAAAGAATTCAGTTAAATTACATGCTTGAAAACACATGGCTAATAGATGGGGGAGAGATACATCAGTTACATTAATGCAGATCAATAATTGATCTTTGCAAAGAGGGATAAGAGACAAGTGTGTCATTAATGAGGAGGAATTAAATACAGTTGAGAAGTCAAAAGCATGCATCATCAAATATGAAGAGTGAGAGTAAGTGAGGAAACAAATCAAACTTCTATTCAAGGGGCAGTTTTGTAGTCTTGTTAATGGCACTCCTCAGCTTTATTGGGAAAGAAGAATAACCTTTCTGGAGAAATGAATGTGCTTTTATTTGAAAGTAGAAAATTAATAGCTCTTTAAAATTCAAAACAAATTCTTGTATCTGAACCTAAAAAGTTATTTGTTATCGAATGCTTAAAAGTGTAAAGATGATGAATAAAGAATGTAGTTAGCAAAGAATTCTGGACAGCTATAACTAATGAAGCAAAATGCAATTGGCTTGGAAAAAAAATAAAAAGAGAAGAGGTGAACTGGGAGATTTAGGACTGACAAATGAGAAAGTCCACAGACGGTACTGAAAATGATGAAATCCATGTTTTACTAGAGTTTTTTGTTGTTGCACAAAAGGGAGACTGAAAAGGCATAGAACCAAAGAAAGTCATACCTGTGTCCTTTGGGACTAATAAAAAATTGAAAACTTGACTCAATACCTAGTATAGTCAGGATTTTTAAGTGGCTATCTCTGTAGAGGAGATGAAGGGAATAATCAGGAAAAAAAAGGCAATTTTTACACACATCAGTAAGTTAAACAAGAAAAAGTTATTGTCAGAAAAGCAAAAAAAAAAAGTTGTTATAGCGCAATGAGAAATAGAAATCATTATTTCATTTCCATGAGTAGCACTTCCAATATTTTTACTGTAAAACATGGTGTACATCTGGAAGAAAACCATCTGAGATGTCTGAAAAAGTTCCTGGTTTGCTTTTGGCAGGGAATTCCCATTATGTATGGTTCTTGCACAGTGCCATGCTACTGGAGCTCACAGTTTTATTGTGTTATCCTATTGAAGATGAAAAAAGAGAGGGCTTGAGCTTCCCCAAGGTAAGGTTTTATGCTGATAATAAGGATAACGTTTACAACTAATTAGTAACTGAATGAGGTGGATTTAAAGGACTAGCTGGTTAAACGTGTCCGTAATACAGCCTTTTTCTACCTTCCTGTGATTTTTCCAAAGTAATTATTTAGATGGAAGAGAGGAAACAGTAAAATTCAAGATTTCCTTCCAAGCTCATTGTAATTTATGAGTCGTCAAGTTCTGTGCTAAATATTTAGCTTGCCTTTTTTGTATGTTGGATTTTTAAAAAACTGTATTCTTTGTAGGATCTATGGATATATTTCCCTATGTATTCACTCTAGTAACTGATTTAAAATTTTATAAATTCTTATTTCAAAGAATATTCTGGCTGGAAAATGACTGTAACCTCCCCAGAATGCTGATGTGTTTTTTTTCTCCATCTGTACATCTGTTTTACAAATGAGGAGGAAGGTCAGCAGCCACTGTGATGTCTTGATCAGTTCAATTTTCTCTTTTTTTTTTTCTTATTTGAAGTTTATCAAATCTCTGCCTGTCTGCATTTGCATTTTGTCAGGTGCTGACTACAAAAAGTTTAGTGCTGAGAGTGGATGGTGTTTGGGAGAGGATGAAGGATGGGAGCACTAGCCTGCCTCTATCCACCTGGAACAAGCTGTTTAACTTTTTTACTTTTTCTTCTTTCAGACTAGAGCACATTTCTTATTCCAAAATATGAAAGTCGAAGTCCTTTTATTGCGCCGTTCTTGTCCTTAGAGCCTCAAGGTATAAGAATATATAATAAATATTGCAATAGTCAGAATGGTTATGGATTATTTTTCCAGTTCAGGTATTTATGAAAATTCCTACATTGATAGACTCTTGAACCTGAAGTTGTCATCATCCTTTTCTCTTCCTTACTCTCTGTGTTTTTTCCAGCTGTTGCTATGAGGAGCTGTTATTAAAATTACTCAGCTGAGTACAGCACGAGCATCACTTAAGTACACTTCCTGCTGTGCCTGATCAATGTACATAAACACTTCTGAGTACATCAATAACTAGTTTAAGTTATAATATATTATACAATGTAAATTTTATGATGGGGACACCTGCCCGCTACATGCTGGGCTGAGAGCAGCAACTTTTTTGTGCCTGGATCAGAAAAATGGGAGCTTGCAATGATTGAAATTAACTTCTGAGGTGGGTTTGAGTCAACAACTGGCAAATGATGGTCCAAATCCTATTATATTATTTTTTCAAACAAGCCTTTAGTGAAATTCTCCCATGTCTGCATTATCATGCTTGATCCCTATTTTAGTTTTCGGAGACCACATCTGAATAGGAGATACAATGTGGATGCAGAACACTGAGCAAAAAACAGTACTCAGAAGAATTTCAAATATATTTTAGTTTTATTCTGAAGCTATATATCCACTCATATTTCACACAGAGATTTAAGGATGAACTTGAGAATAGATTTTTTAATATCTAATCTATATTTCAGAAGCATAAAAAGGGTAGGGAGGGGGACAGGGTAATCAAGAATGAAAAAAGGAAGGAATTCCTAAGTATATGGCATTCTGTGGTATCACTAATAGTGTTTTTTTCCCCCTGATTATTGGTAACTCCATTTTCAGTGAAAAAAAAAATTCTACTCAGATGGAACTCTTATAGCAATTCAAGAGGAATACCTAAACCCTTTTCTAAGGGTGCAAGAATAGCAGGAAATCAAGATAGGACTAAACAATAATGAAATTCAAATATAAGGTTTTCATAATAGCAACGATAAATTTGTAGAAGAAGATAAATGACTCTTTAACCTTCCATGCTGATTTAATCTCAGAAATATGCTCCAGTTTTACACATCAACCATAGGCAGCATGTCTCTAAATGTCCTAGCAGGTCATCCAAGGCAGCAAAAGTCCTGTTTAGTAAAAATTGTGTGTATATGCAGACATTTTTATTAATTTGTTTTATATATATATATATTTATAATGAAATCAGTTGAAGGATGTTTTGTAAAGCTGACTAGGAGCAAAAAGCGATTCAAAATTATGAGCTTAAAGAAAATCTTCTAATGAGCATGGAAGGTTGTATTGCGAATGAGTGCATGACTGGTTTCCTGCGAGATGAAAAGTACAGCAGAGGTGGGCAGCAAAGGCACTATACTGCTTTTACATTCCAGGATTACCTGACATGAAAGCTGTTCCAGCATTTCTGCATGTTGCTTTATGTATTTTGGTTGATAGTGAAAATTACTGACATACTGGAGGAACTCCCTACTGTGCATACCAGAGCATTTTCCCAAATTATTTGTGGTTACTGCAGAGCCCTGGTCATGAAAGATCCACATTTTGTTCCTGTTGTTTACCTAAAAGGTTTTCATTTGGGTATCTGTGGTGGATTTCAATCTCTGTTTTTCTATAGAGATGGCTTGATGTAAAATACCTAAAGATTCACTGTTCCTGAGCAAAAGTGAATATGACAACATGCAGCTGGACTACAACACGTACTGTGATGACCATATTTTGCCCTACATTAGGAAGCTATTTAGAGAAGCCCACTGGTAAACTAACTCTTTTTCAAATAGATTAAAGTGACATCTTGAGAATTTCTACCGGTGTCTGTGGCCATTAGTCACAGTAGTGAACTTGTATTATTCTCTTTTGGCAATTACTGCACTAAAAAAGTAATTTTGCTGGGTGAAGTGAGCAACTTTATACAAATTCCTAGGAGGTTCCTGCTCTGGGTAGGAGTCTCTGCTACAGTTTGTGTTATATTGAAAACTTTGTCTGAACAAGGTAATGATTTGATCAGAGGGATGAAGCACCCCTCCTGTGAGGAAAGGCTGAGAGAATTGGGATTGTTCAGCCTGGGAAAGAAAAGGCTTCAGTGTGACCTAATTGTGGCCTCCTAGTACCTGAAGGGAGCCTGCAGGAAAGATGGAGAGAGACTATTTACAGGGGCCTGTAGTGACAGGAGAAGGGGCAATGACTTCAAACTGAGAGTAGGTTTAGATTGGATATTAGGAAAAAATTCTTGACTGTGAGAGTGGTGAGGCGCTGGCACAGGTTTCCCAGAGAAGTTCTGGATGCCCCATTCCTGGATGAGTTCAAGGCGAGGTTGGATGGAGCTCTGAGCAGTCTGGTCTAGTGGAAGATGTCTCTGCAAATGGCAGGGTGTTTGAAACTAGATGATCTTTATGGTCCCTGCCAACCCAGGCAATTCTGTCATTCTATGATTTACACAGGACTTGTTCTGAAATCCCCTGTAGCCTTATGGTTCCATATGAAAGATATGGAATCATATTTTCTCCAAAACTGGAGATAACCAAACCTGAGTTTCCAAAGCTAGATGAATGCCAGAAGTCCCAAGTTACTGGATAAAAAAGAAGTATAGTCTGACTAGTCTGACTCCCCAGCTGATACTAAAGTATGACCTTGCTCACATCTCCTTTGTTATATTTTCTGCAAACTAAAATGTCTAAAATAATTTATCAGATAATATTATTTAAATAAGTTGATGCTGTGGTTATTCTTTGACTGGTACTGATTTGGATTCTAAATATAAAAATAGTTGGAAAAATGCCTTTTCCTTTGTTCATACATTAATTTTGTCCGGAGTTAAGTATGTGCCTTGGAGAACCAGTGCCACCAATGATAGAGCACTGCCAGGAATTCTGTCCAGCAAAGTACCAGTCAGGAGCAGTGGTGTGAATCAATGGGAACTTCCACACATATCAGCAGTAATTCAATTGAGTAGTGAACTCTATTACCAGAGTTAACTCTTTGAAAATGGAGTTTGTACAGTGATCATCAACTTCCCTAGGCATAGATTTCAAGTGAGATGAAAAATACACTGAGATATGTTATCCATGCAAATAGAACCATTTTGTCAGTCATACCATGGCATGATGGATGATCCAGTAAACTTATTTTTATGGCACATAAGTGCTAAGCAATCTGCAAAAATTACTCTGCACTAATGCCAGTACTACCTTTATCAGTGTTGAAGAAAGACACAAAAAAAATATTTTTAAATGGGAATTAGTCTTATGCTGTGTTCTTCACCTTTTCATAGCCTTTCTGAAAGGTGAGCTTTTAGGTCAATGTGAAATACTAAAAATGAATACCAAAAGCTTTTATTAAAAGGTTAATAATGGTTTCTGTTCTACAACATCTAGCATTCCTATTCTGAAATTTAAGGGGTCAGAGTACCAATATTAAGTGCATTACTGTATCAAAGGCTGCTGACAGAAGCTTTTAAGACATGGATGTTTTTAGTCTACCATGATCAACTAGAAAAACTGCATACACTTTTTTTTCCCCCCATGGAGTTATACTTACACATAAAAAAAATCAAATAAAACCATTCAATATCAGCAAGGATGTTGGAAGCAGAGAATTTCTCTTCTTTTAGCTAACCACCTAAATGCATGCAGGCTTCAAACCATTTTATTCTATTTCTAGAGCTATCACCATATTTATTACTTACCATTACACTGTAGCCTTCTGAAAAAAAAAACAAACACTACAAAATAAACCCAAAGAAATGATCCATTTGAAGGTTATAGAACCGCCATTCCCCCAAAGATGAAAATTTCCCTCTGATGTGTACTCTTAATTTTTTTTATTTTCTCTGTCATTTATATATACGTAACAGTTTTCACTGAAGTGGGATTTTTTTCAGAATCTTGACCGTTTGACTCAAAATATGTTTAGAAAAACAATACTTCGTAAGAAAGCTCATTGAATTCAGAACGTGACATATCTACAGTTATGCATGTAAGAATCCTAAAATTCAGATTAAACCGCAGAATGTGTGAAATTTGGCTGTGGGTTGGTTGTTTGGGGATTTTTTTTTTTAATATTCGGAGCAGTAGATAACTAAATAGAATGACACAACAGCAAAATCTGTGCGAAGAATGGCTGGAGAGTGTATGCAAATGTTTATTTTATTCACTTGCAGCAGCAAGGGACTAAACTTATCCTTTTAATTTTCTCCTTGCTATTTATGTTTTTGTTTCAGTGCTGTGTATTGGCTTTTACTCTGAGATGCTCTGAGCATCTTCTGTATCTTTCACACACATATCTGCAAATATGTGAGTGAACTGCCAAAGTGGTGAGTATGTACTTGTTAACCTAACAAAATATTAAAGCTTGGTAAATGCTCAGAAAATAACTCATGGTTATTTTTGGAGACATTTAATTTCCATAAGATGTTTGAATTCTACCGATGTAAAAAAAAAGGGAAATGTCTTTGAAATAAGGGGTGGTATATGCAAAAATAATTTTCTTATAATACCAATCTGAAAATTTTCTGTTGCCAATTTCAATTTTCTTTTTCATCTTACAAGTTGATACAGTGAAGTATCTTCAAGTGAAAATGAGAGGAAAATCATCAGTCCTCGATAAAACTCATCTAGTAGGGGTTAAATGATTTTTATTACATTATAGCTACTCTGAACTTTCCCGCAGTGAGGAGCTCATCTACTTGCCTTTGTTTTTTTAATTCTTCTGGTTTTTAGTATATGATTAAAAGTACTTAAAATTTTTAGTATTCGTAATTTCAAGATACCTTTTATGTTCTGGCAGACATAGCTCTTCAGAAGAGTTGTAATTAATCCCTATTCCATGAAACTTCTAAAATAGATAGAATTTACTAACTTGTTTGCTCCTCTCATGGTCAATGCCTCATTCCTCTGTTTTGAAGATGATGGGGATGAAAACAGGATATGCACACTGGAAAGAGAAAGAAAATTCCCTTCTCCAGTAAAATGTGTATACCTTTGGGATGTTTCACCTCTCCCTTCAGTTAAATGAAAACATTGTTCCCATCATAAATCTCGAGGGAAAAATATTTATTTCAGAACATGGTTTTGAGACTAAGGTCTTGTCATGTATTATAACTACAGACAACATTAATTAAATGTTAGTTTATTAAAATGCAGAGCCCAAGTGACCAAAATGTGCCACAGCTGTCAAGGAGTGCAAAATTTATATGGTCCTAACAACTGTATGTGTTTACAAGGCAAAGGTTTGGTTGGTGGCGGGGCTACAGGGATGGTTTCTGTGAGAAGCTGCCAGAAGCTTCCCCTGTGTCCAACAGAGCCAATTCCTCTGTGTCCAAGATGGACCTGCTGCTGGCCAAAGCTGGGCCCATCAGAGGTGGTGGTAGCACCTCTGGAATAACAGATTTAGGAGAGAGGGAAAACTCTGGTGGCACAGCAGCCAGAGAGAGGAGTGAAAATATGTAAGAGAAACCACCCTGCAGACAACAGGGTGGGAGAAGAATGGGGGAGAAGAGGTGCTCCATGAGCCAGACTGGAGATTCCCCTGCAGCCCGTGATAGGTTTTAATTCACTGAATGTTTTATAAATGTCAGTGACAACTCCAAATGTGGCTGGTAAAAAGGGAAAGAGATAACTGTGAATTACGTGCTGCCTTGGCCAAGTGATTCATTCCAGGGTAGCCAGCAAAGCTGTGCCAAAAGGGAGTAGCAGAGGGAAACTTGCTCAGTAGATGCCTTGTGTATATTTTGGTGTGTGATAGTGTGCCTTGTCTTCCAAAATTGTGAGCCCAAGCACAATGCAATACTGCATTAGGTTTTGTGATATAGATTAAAGAAAAAAACCCCCTGTTTCTGCTGTATGTTTTAGTTGTCAGGAAAGACTTCAACAGTAAAAACCAAACAAAAAAAGGAAATATAATTTTATATAATTATCACTCCACTTTTTAACCTTGGTGTAATACTCCTTATTTTCAACACTCTTACTTTTGTAATTCCACAAGCTGCACTCTCTAATATCCTTTAATTGTAGGTCAGGTTGTTTTTCAGTCGGTGTTAAGAGTTCTACATACACTACTTTTTTTTATCCAACTCGTTATACTTTAGAAAGGCACTGTTCTTCTCTCTTTCTGATTGTGTTAGACAATGTGTTTAGGCAAAATGTTTTTGTCCTTCGTTCCTTGAACTCTTCCATGCTGTATTTCAGTATTGAGTCAGAATAATCACTTTCAGGTATCTGGAAAATATATACATATATACACATACATATATACATTTTTGTATTAGTTACTAAGTTATTGTTTTTAAAATCTCTGTGATTTTTTTTTATTAGTTAAAAAGCTTTAAAACCTCTTGCTGATACAACTCTCTTGCTGAAAAAAGGCTTTGTAAGTATGTTGTTTTCTTCTGTGGACAAGATGGCTTAAACTAGGTGACAAGTAAAGTTATTTTCAGTATAACATTAAAAGAAGATACATCAGAAGACATTCAAGATTTGGAGATAGTATAACAATATGACATATATTCTTACTTCCATGATACTCAGACTTTATTTAGACTTTTATTCCAAACCAGGGAATATTGATGTTAACAGAGCTGTATTCAGTGTAGTGGACAGTGTGTAGTTTATGTGTTAGAACATACCCTCATGGTCTTCATTTAAATGAATTCAGAGCTTTATTTCACTAATTAGCTTAGTTGATGAATTTGGAAATACTTTAAAGCAACTGAGAAAGGTACAGGACAACAAGATGTGAAATATTATTTATTGCCACTAAAATTTACTAACTATTCTTTAGGTTCTTTCATGTAATAAATGAATTACCTTTATCATAGTCTATTTTATGGTTCTAGTAATTATGTCTCACCATACAAGGCGAAATTTTGGCTCTCCTAAAAGCAACTGACCCTTATTTTGTCAAATATTTCCCTATTCCTAGACTTTTGCTTACTATCTTGACTGTCAGTTATGAAAGAAGATGATATATAGCCCAGAACTACTGTATCTTGTGGTTAACCTCTGTGTCCCTGATTTGGCATGACATACTGTAATGAAATTTGACTAGAAAAGGATTTCACTACGAAAATGATTTGTGAAGGAAAGAAATCAAAGAGTCAGAAAAGGAAGTTAACAGCACTGTATACACAAGATACAAACATAGAATTATTTATGGCGATACTTATAAGTATTTTCTTCTTGTATGTCTGGAGGATATTGAGACTTTAAAGCCAGATGCTGACTGACTGGTATGAACACTTGATTGTATGTATGTATATATCCATGTGAAGATATATCAAGAGGACTAGAAGTGAATAGAGAAAAAAACATTTTATTTTCCAGGAAGATTATGGTAAGTTTGATGTATTTTTCCACCAATTTGAATGAGCTTCTACCTATTTTGGGGCAGATTTCTTTGAGATATCATCAACAAGCAAAAAACCCTTTTCTTCAGGCAGGCCTGTGGAATACGCTGTTCTGGAATTATGCAATCTAGATGTTTCAGTACTTTTGGCCAGCAAAGACCTTTGAGGCATCCAGAGGAGATGTCTTTTATCAGGCTCGTGAGTACTACTTGGTATGGCAGGTAAAATGTTTAAGAGATCAAAGAAATTTGGGGTCTTCAGCAGGTCATGGCTGGATTACAAGTTAAAAATTAAATGGGAGTGACTGAAATCTTCGTGATGAGCTAGAGCTTTCAGTCCCATCTTTTCCCCCCCCATGCATCTCAGCATGTGGGGTCAGCTGTCTTTTAGCTTCTTTAAGCGTCTTCTGTGCTCTACCAAAGGTGCAATGTATAAACTTTATTCCTCTCATAATGGTGTAATTCCAGGATGGTCCTCCTCGATGATCGAAAGGTTATATGCTGTGATGATGAATATCAAATGAATCTGCCACTGCCCATTCAGTTAGTAAGGTGGAAAAGATGTCTGAGGCACAATTTCAGCTGTTAACATTAGGCAAAGTAGGATATGCTTTGAGCAAAAGCTGATATTCAGCTTCAACAACACTTTGCGTTATATTTTACTCACTAAAACAATCAACTCACTGTACCAAGGAACAAAATTTACATTAGAGATAGGTAACATTTACAAAAAACAACTTAAAAGATAGAAGTAAATTGTGCTATTCAGATTCTCCTGTTGTATTTTCAACATTGCTTTCAGGAAAAACACAGCTGGTTGATACTGAAGAAATACAAGAGAAACAGTGTAGATGAACTCTGCAATTTCGAGTCTCTCTAATTCACTCATAGTATGGTTTTTTTGTATTGTTGTTGTTTTTGTTTTTTTTTAATAATTGAATTCTCATTGGCTGAAGGAGGAAAACAAAATCTTTGCAGACAGACTCAGCCCAAGATCTGGGACTCATGATAGTCTCTCTTGGTTTGAGTGATCATTTTTTAAGTCTTGAGACTAATGATTAGGGTGAGACATTGTAGATATTACCCTTTGGTGTCAAATGCTTTTCAGTTTTGTAATCTGATTTGTAAACCAATACCTTAGAAAGTACTTTCCCAAAAGGTTAAATAATTCAGTGGTTTTATTCATATGGCTAATTACATTTCTATATACAGTGTAAATTGCCCTCTGTTTGTTCTGCATTCAAAATATCGAAATATGGGTATTGACCATCTAAATGCTGTACTTTAGAAGAGCATTCATAACTCTATTTTTATAAATAATTTGTTATGAAATTATTACACAGTGGTTTTGAAAATGAAGTATTTGCTGTGAGTATTGTTTTACTTTTAAGCTTTGAATGGGCACAGTGAGGGAGATCATTGTCTGTCCAGCCCAGTGGCTTGTCCCCAGCAATACCCAGTAGCAGATTCTAGTCAAAGCATGGAACACCAGAGTAAATCAGAGAAACCCTTCCCCCTTCAGCTTCCAGAAATAAGCAGATTAATGACTTTATTAGCCAGTGGCTACATCAAACCACTGTATTTGGTGGCTGTGGATTGATATCTCTTGCATGAACTTATCTCATCTTCTTATGAATTCATTTATACTTTGGGTCTCTTGTGAGTTTCACTATTTAATCACATTTTGTGTGGAGAATGTAATTCTTTCTGATGACTTTGAATTGCTGACTGTGACTGTGGTAGTATCACAATTTTCCTTTTCTGTGCTATGAAAAATAAGGAATAATTGTTCCATGTTTGATTTTGTGTATATTGGCTGTACTATTCTAGGCATCTGTTCAATTCCTCTGTAATTGCTTTTTTTCCTCCTCCAAAGCTGAAGAAATTAAATTTGTTTACTCATTTCTGAATACAGAAACTATTCTTTATAGAATCACAGAATCAGAGAAATTTGGGTTGGAAGGGACCCTAAAGATCATGTCGTTCCAACCCTTTGCCATGGACAAGGACACCTCCCTCTAGACCAGATTGCTCAGAGCTCCATCCAGCCTGGCTTTGAACACTTCCAGGAATGGGGCATCCAGAACTTCTCTGGGAAACCTGTGCCAGGGCCTCAACACCCTCACAAGGAAGAATCTCTTCCTGATATCTAACCCAAATTTTTTCTCCTTCAGTTTGAAAGAGGGGAAATTCATCTGTCTGTTCTGTTTCTATAATCCACCTCTCTTTTCCCGATTTTCAAGTTGGCCTGTTTTGGGAGACAATGACCATAACTATGTGCAGTATTGATGTCAGGGAATGTTGTGCTCTATGGATTTCGACATTAATAGTGTCAGAATTTCTTTTTCCTTTGTCCTCGGATACTGATAGCTCCTCACATCTTACAGACCTCAAGCTCAACTGAGCACTTACTACACTAAACAGGATGAGAAACTTTATTTTTCTTTTTTTTTTTCTGATTAAAACATAAATTGCTTCTGATACCATCAAATTTGATGGGATTCTGTTAATTTTGCAGAAGAGCCTCATGTCAGGGCAATACCAAGTTTGAAGGCTTCTCGCAAGCATCTCATATTCCAAAGAGAGAGATTAAAAAGAGAGAGGGAGAGGAAAAGTGAGTGTAAATTATTTAAAAGAAAAAATTAAGCAAAGAAACTCTGCAGTCGGGCAGAATTTGTCCTTGACTGCAGATTAACATTCACTGATAAAAGGTTAAGAGTGAGACATGCTGAAAAACTGAAAAACTTGGTGAGATCCTTCACAATTTTGCACAGGGATAGAAAGCAACAAGATAGATGAAAATTAATGCCTGCTGTGTAAATCACTGTTAGGTAAAGTAGTGCATATGGGAAAATAGTTTTATTTTCTTTCCTTTGACCTCTGGAGACCATTGGGATTTTGACACTAGCATGTTTGTGTGCTTCTACATAACTAAGGGAAAAAAAATCTGGGCTTGTTACCACCTCAATAGGAGGTGAATATTATGTTTGAAGTGCATGACTGACTGGTTCAGCTCCATGAGAAGAACTGACTTCTTTTTTTCAAAAGGAAAGGAAGAAAGATGAGAAGAAGAAAAAAAGAGAAAAGCAAAGAAGATGAGAGGGAAAGGTGGAGAAGAGAACAAAAAAAAAAAGAAGAGAACAATTCTGTTTTGTCTCACTCTTCTCTCCTTGTGAACCTAATGGGATGTGCAGCTGCTCCCTCTTCTTTGAGGTTAGCACTCTAAAGGACTTTGGAAGAGATTGTTAGATTTTTTTATGAAACTTCTGAAATCTGGTGAGTACGATGGGTTAAAAATAAATGGATTAATAACAAAATTGTCCTCCTACCCATTGCATACAGTGGATATTTTACTGTGCTTACTCTCAAACCAGCAACTTTCCACAGCTGTTACAGCTGTAAATTAATTCAGTAAAATTCTCTAAAAATATGTACATTTCTCATGGTGATTGGGACTTTTAT